TTATCTAAGCAATGACTGGTTCGATTGTATGGTCAAATTATTTCGTTCTGTTTGTTTATTTATTTTTATTATTTTATAAAATACATATCTAATCTAGATGAAGTTGAGGTTCATTCTTATTCTTCGACTGTCCATATCATTCATATTCATATATTTATTTCTATTTTTAGATTATAATAATACGATTCTTCTTCGATTTGGTACAATTAACAGAGAAACGAATCATGTCGACAACAGTAAGTGAAAATGTTCAGTTCAATGGTCAACATGTTAACAATATATATTTCTTTGTTTTAAGACTATGAAATGTAAACTATCAATTGAATTATTAGTAAAACATGATTTTCTTCGTAATAATGATAAGTGTACATGTTGTTCACAATTAATTGGAATGCATCTTTATCAACAAGGTGATTCAATTTTCAATGAATATTATTAAAAATTATGTTTTTTTTTCAAAACTTAAAAAAGAAATCAGCAACTCAAATATGAATGCTGAAGATGCTAATGTCAATATCAAAGACAATGCAAATTACGAAAATAAACGATCGATTAACGAGAAAACAAGTATGTCTTGAATCTTGACGTAGTATCAATGTTCAGGGTGGGTGTGGGTGTGGGTGTGTGTGTGGGTGTGAGTGGGTCTGAGTGTGGGTGTGAGTGGGTCTGAGTGTGGGTGTGAATGATAGTAATAGCACCCACACTCACACCCACACCCACACACCCATACCTACATCCACACACCCACACCACACCCGCATCCACACCCCACACCCACCCTCACACCCAGCCACACCCACATCCACCTCACACCCACACCCCACCCCCACACCCAGCCACACCTACATCCACCTCACACCCACACCCACATCCACCTAACACCCACACCCCACACCCACACCCATACCCACACCTAGTGTTATTTCACAGAACTCCAATCTTCAGACAACAGCTTTCATCGTTTCATAATAGTATCGATTCCGTGAATCGAAAATTTCGATCAATCAACAATAAATTCGGATAGCATGACCCTCAAACCTTCGGTCGAGTTTTCTATATCTAATCACCATAAATTTTAAGTAACTTGTATGTTAACAGAAAAGCTTCAATTTAATCAGATGTGTCTTGACTACTGGTAATGAAAGATCAATCTAGATGAAATATTCTAAAACTATGAAACAATAGTAATGATTCATATGTCTAAAAACTCGAAATTTCATTTATTGAAAGTAGTAACGAATTAGTATAGAACTGAAATAGACACAAATGAATTAAAGATCATGAATGGTCTATTCATTTTATTTAATCATTAAACTTCTTCTAAACTCTAATAGTTACTCCATCAGAGATAAATGATCAATCTTCGATTTTACGATTTTAGTCATTTAGAAACATGACAGCGAGAATTATATATCTTTTTTTTTCCATTATAGTTGTCAATCATAACTCTTTTCTACAAAAAAGAAAGAAACTGCCCAATGAACTTAAACGCTTCACTCATACGGAAATCGATTTCAACTCTTTAACAATAAATTGAGATACAACGTTTTATGGTTGTTAGCAATTTAAGAATCTCTTTTTGTCGATTAAATAAAGAATTATTTATAATTAACAAAATTGACAACATTTAAATGCAGCGATTTTTAGATATTCATTTGAAGATGATCCGTGAAAAAATGAACCAGAATGGTTTCTATGAAGATATAGATTTACCTGTATTGAATCCAAAAATGAAAAAACAATTGTTTGATTCTTTTTCTCAGCCATTTAACAAGAAAATTCTTTCAATGAAATCAATGTGCGAAGAGAAGATTTTGATTTCTAACTTCATAAAAAACAAAAACCATGAAAAATAGATGATGCATATTGGACAAAATCGATTGTAATTAGCTGAGGCTAAGATGGACATAGATTTGCAAAGTACATATTTTAACTAGAAAAATCAAGCCAACGCAAGGAAATTCTAAAAATTGTTTGAAAATTCTCATTTGTGTGTCGCAAAGAAATCTTAGAATCAATCAGCTATATATCGAAAATTGTGAATACAGTGAGCACGAAATTTGCATACTCGATGAGCTCTACCTATGGGGATCCATGGCTCGGATGGACTGCATTGGGCCAAACCTCAGTACCCCATGGCCAACTTTCATGGACGCGGCTTGGCTCATTTGGAGCTGTTTCATTCAAACACAATTTTGTTTCTAATATAAACACTACAAGAGGAATTCAAGTAGACTGAACCTAATATTGTAACTAAATTGATACATATGTAAAATGTTTACAAAATTGTGATAGGTATTTGCATTATGCTAATCCTAACTATAATTGTAATACAAGTATATTACAATTAGTATTATTTAATGCAATGCTAATAGTAAGCTGACACCCCTAATTTATAGTTCAATAAAACAAAGTTAGTTGTCAAAACGTAACAATTTTAAGGTTTTTTTAATTTTACTAATGTGATATTCTTAAATACAAAAGATCTGATCTTTACATATCAATGCGAGGAAAAAAAACTTCGAACTTTTCCACCCAAAAGACGAAGTGATCGATGATTGGATTAACTAATTTCATCGTCATTATTAAATACCAAAGGATACTTCAAACATCTCAATATAAAGAATAAAAGTTTCGAATCTGGACACTACATGTGTACTTTTATCGGGTAATGATAAAATGAGTAATCGTTCTTTGGAGAAGAAAAAATGAGAGAATAGACACATTGTCTATCAAACAATAAAAAGATATTGATAGGTATGTGATGAATTATGACAGTAACTGCTTATGGCTTTCGGCACGCTGGTGTTTTGTGTCATCTGCACACTCACAACTGTGTCTTTTCTTTATTAAATGCAACTTATATGGATATGATCACACAGAGGAGAGCAAAGAGAGAAGGTCAATCCTCGGTGAAAAGGTCATATAAGTGAAGCATAAAGGTCAATAACCGCTATAGATTGGACAGAGACTTTTCTTTTCTCGAGTTGCGAATGGCTGGAAAATATTCGCGATAATACGACTGAAGCAAAACTATCAAGAGATATTATTGTGACCGATCCTATGCATCATCAGTCGTCATGTCTGTATCCAAGGTCGTCCGTCGAGCCCATACATTCATGTGTATACATATCACTTATTCTTTTTCTCTTTTTTAATGCTATTTCGGCCTGATATTTTTCTGTTCATATTGCATGTATTAGGTCTTTTTTTGAATTAAACCCGAGCGAGTAGGTTGCTTCATTACAATTATTCTCTTCTCAACATACCAACAATAATTTCGATTGTCATTTAAATACGTCCATCTTCTTTATTAATATGCCTATTTAACTTTTGTTTTAAATTGATCGAAACGTGTGTGTGAATTTTTTTTATAGACAATATTATTATTTAACTATCTCTCTATTACAAAGACAATGAATACTGATTCCAGTTTATCACCAACAAATAAAGATTCCACACTTATGAATACATCTTCAAATTTGAATATGATGCAAACAGCTACATCTCATCATGAACAATATCAATCAATTAATGATGATCTTATTCCAGCATCTAATGATACTTCATCATCAGTTAATAATATGATATCATCATTAACATTTTCTAAGACAGTTACAAATTCAACGCATGATTGTATATATCCATGGAGGAGACCAGGTATTCATAAATTAATTGAGAAAAATGATGTACTGAAAATGCATAAATGTAACATATGGAAATGATTAACATTTGTATCATTATTTTGTTTATTTATAATTACTAGGTAGTCCTTCTTTTTTTCTCCTTACAGGATTTAATTTTGAACATAAACGTAGCCGAACAGGTTATACACATCATCAACTACGTGAATTAGAAAGAGAATTTCATATTCACAAGTAAGAAAAGAATATTTTTATATTTATTTATAAATATTAATAGATATGTACCACGTTGGCGACAAATTGAAATTGGTCGTAGGCTTGCATTAACTGAACGACAAATTCACGTAATAAAATCTTGTTTTTTTATGTTAATCTATTCGTTTTCTTTGTTTAGATTTGGTTTCAAGGCCGGTAAGAATAAATCACGAGTTTTTTAAAATTTATTTATGGTTTTTTTTCTTCTTTTACATTAGTCGATGTAAATGGCAACATGATAAATTTAAATCACGCAATAATCCACATGTTGAACTCGAAGCAAAGGCAACAAATCATGGTCGAAATCATCATTCATATGCTATATGAACTAATGATACATCATGATCATCGATATCAAATGTTAAAAAAGAAAATAACCATCCATATAACATCAATGGAACTAATAAATATTTAACTGTATATATAACGACTTTTGACTACTAGTCGATCGCAATAGAATACATGCTCTTCGTGTTGTTCTTCAAAGATTAAAAAAATAAATTTGCAATGGATTGTCAAATATTGTTTTATTAAAGCATTCGTCACCTAAATTTCTCGATGCTTCAGTTAATGCTGCACGACAGAGAGAGGATTTAAAGAACTTATACAATGTGTCAAGAATTTGAAAAATAAACTGATAATTGTTTATCGAAATGTCGTATAGACGCCGACAAAAAAGTGTTGTGATAAAATCTATTCATCGATATATTTGAAATAACGAAAAGAATTACCAGTTCTTACTCCAATGCAAAAATACGGTCCGTATTTCACTGTAAACAGCCGTTTGAGATAAAGTTACGACGAAAAACAAGAACAATCGTAACTTCCATTCTGGGTATACAAGATTTTATTTTATAGTAATAATATCCTGTTAGTTTTTTGAGCCGTTTCATATAGCAATCGAAAATTGTGCAATATGTTTAAAGAAGAGAGATCTTTAAGATAATTTTACATGTCGATGTTCATTGGCATAGCTAAGTATTTGCTTAATAATTTCAATGAACAAGAAGAACAAAAACTTTGTTATTATTAAAATCCAACCACACCTTCGAAGTAATGGACTTTTCAATATCTTATGTGTGTCTTTTTTCATTTGCAACTTTTGAAATTGAATATTTTAGCAAAAGATGCTCTATGAAATTCTCTGCAAGATATTATTTGAGTAAAACGATTTTTCCAAGATTTAATGTTAAACTATATACTATACCGATCATGTCAAAATGTAGACGTCTAAGGTGTTCGAAATTGCAATGTATTATTATATTAATCTTAGGAAAATTCGTCTTGCTCAAATATTATCTTGTAGGAAATTTCATAAGGTGTTTTAGCTAAAAGATTCAGTTCAAAATGTTGCAAATAAAAAAAGACATACATGAAATATCGAGGGTTTCATTTCTTCGAAGAATTTATGAAAAAGTCGAAATACACACAATCTTAATGTTACTGTTTCTGATGTAAGATAAATTAAACTCCTAGAATGTTTATGAACAACATGAGAATGAAAATAAAATCAATGCAAAAACTTTTGTACCACGCACTACTCATCTGGAAGTGATTTCTTCAAAAAACTATGCGTCATTCACTGTTGTTCGAGGAGCGAACAGGCATTTTTTTTTTGAGCATATGAATATATGAAAAAATTCTTTTGTAAATATATTAGAATTACAGAAATCTATTTGTGAAAAATTTTTGACATGTCCGAACTGGATTCAAATGTAATCACAACATCCAAACAAACAGACACAATAGTAAGTATGTAACATCTTTATATGTCTTTTGAAATTTTCAATAACAAACGAAGGCTTTTTTGGAAAGGACAAATCTAGCTGAATTTCTTTGATATCGTATTATAGAAAAACTTTGAGAGTTATTCTTTAATTTTAACAGAAAGATATTTAAAAAAAATATTTGTAACTTTGAACATTGTTCAAGTGTAATTTTATTTATTTTCTATTTAGGATAGGGATGTAGAAGAAAGTGACAATAATAATATACTTGACAATGATGATGAATTCATTGATTTTATTCCTTGTAAGCTGTTTTTCGATTTATTACAAAAAAGTTTATTGATTAATTTATTATTTTAAAGCTCCTTATGTGGATAAAAATGAAGTTCAAGATATTGATTCATTATCGAAATGTTTTGAACAACGTCACAATAATTATCTTATGTTTTTCATGGTCTCTCTTAAAGATGCATGTCAAGCAGCTTTCGGTCCAATTGTACTTCAAGAAGTTCGTTCAGATAGTTTTTCTTCTTACATAAAATACTTTGATCTTTCATATTTCAGCGTCGTCCAGTACCTGTTGACAAACATCATAACAACAATCAATTTAGGGAAAAATTTTATGAGCCATGTTTTATTCAAGTACGATTATCGATTATTTAAATGTAACTTATGTTGTTTGGCCACATGAAATTACTTCTGAATCCAACAGATATTTTATTTAGGTTAACAAAAATTTAAGAAATATTTTCTACTCAATTGTTTGGTACTTTTTCCATTGAACAATGTCCTTTACTGATTGGAGTTATGGGACTATTCGAACTGAAAATAGATAGTATAGTAACATCTGAATATCAATTAAAATCATTCATTAAAGGTAATACTTTGGCATGTACTCGAATGACAATTAATCGTGAAAATCTATTGAATGAATTGGATATTTTCAAAGAAGAATATGATAAAAATGAACAAAATTTAGTGAGTGTTTTTTCACGCATATTTTTAATATGAAAAGTATTCGTTTAGTCGTTTAGTTTCGTTAAAATAACTGGACTTTGTTGCGAAATTATCCTTGAAAGAAGTCAATATCTTTCATTGGATGATGCAATTTCGACATTCTCTATTGATATTCTTCCTTTATTAAATAATCTTCAATCAAATCTTTGTCATCCATTTATTAAAATGATTCTTCGAAAAATCAAATTTGAACAAATTATTTCATTAGAATTCAATACAGGTCGATCATAGTCAAAGACTGAATTGGCCTTTTTATCTAATTTTAATAACGTCACTTCAATAACACTTCATAATTCACCATATGCAAATCAAATTAGTGAATATATTAAATGTTTTCCCGATTTGACCCGTCTTTCTCTCTATTATGATGATAAAGTTAATTATTATATATTAAGGCCTCTCCCCCCCCCCCCCTCAAAATAACATCATTTACTGATTTTCACTTTGTCATCTTGCGAAAACTCGATCTCCGCCCTAATACATTGTATAGAGCTGCAAATTTCTGGGCATACTGGGTATGGGTTATCCTCGCACCACTGAAAATTTCAGCTCGATTCCTAGTACGTTGGTTCGAGATATAACAATTTTACTACACATGTCTACACATGTCTTTTTAGATGCGATGGCTTTTCGTAGCGCCACCACCATGCTACCACAGTACAATATAAAGTCATATATATTTTTTTGTTTGAAAGCTTGTCTCTAGGGCTAGCCCCTCTCGTGGCCCTTTTTTTAAAATAACCCTTTTTATCATCATATAAGAAAACACCTCTATAGAAAAAGCGCCATTTTTTAGGGGTTTTTTGAGTCATTGAACTTGTCACTCCTTTTCTTCGCTTAAAAAGTAAGAATTTTAAAAAAAGGACCAAGAGAGGGGCTAGCCCTAAAGACAAGCTTTCAAATAAAAAAAAATGTATATATATAATGAGAGTCCACAGAGAAATTTTGGCGCTGAAATGAGCTATTTTTTACCCTTGTTTGGTTCATATCTCTGTCAAACGTCAGTAAATCGAGCTGAAAATTTTACCACAGCCTCCTCACTTCAGCCCCAACATATGCTCCAAATTTCAGCCCATTTGAACGTACCTGGACTGAGATTGATTTTTGAGGGGGGGGGGGGGGCCTTAAATGAAGTATTAATTCAAGTTCGACAACAAATCGGACGATTTGAGATTCATTGTCCAGAAATATTTTGTATTGATGATGATGATAATGATACTGACCGATTTAAAAAAAGGCAAATGATAACGCCTAGTGTTAAATATTTTTTACTTGATGTTGGTAATTATCGTTCGACATCGACAAACAGTCATCTTCAACACTACAAATTACGTTTCTTTATGCCATTAGCTGATTTAATGAAAAAAATGCCGAACATTCAACATATTTATATCATTGGCAATAAATATAATATTGAATATTTTTTTGATGATGATCAATGGATACTTGTTCTACATAGATGTTCTCAATTGAAGAAAATTATATTTCAAGTGTTGGGAATTACATCTCAGGATGAACGATTCTTAATATAGAAAATACTGGAAATTCAAACGATATTACGTAATGTACGACAAACAATCAAATGTCAAATTATTTTTTGGTAAATTTTATTTCATTTGATAACTTCAGTTTATAAACATCATTTCTGATGATAATAATAACGTTGATGACAATCTAGTTGATTTGATTCAATGAAATTCTAAATAAAATTAATATTATAATTAGTCTTCTACTCTGATTTCTACTTTTCTTTGTGATCATAATTCTTCAATAGAAATGCTACTCCTACACACATTTGCTATTATTTGAAGTTCGTTAGAATTCTATGTATGAAGATAGATAAGTTCTCGTTTACTTTCATTTGTTGTTTTTGATCAAAATACAGTGTAGGATAGTTAAATCTTTTTGGCAACTACTATATATCTCTTTTCTTTAATTATCTATTTAAAATTCTTCTCTCCATACTCGAAATTGCATCATTTTTCACTTTTCAATCAATATAAAATAATATGTGTAAAAATAAAAATCAGTCATTTTATTTTATCTATTGTGTTTTTTCCCAAATAAACTGATACCCTTTATTTTTAGGATAAATTTCTAGAGAATTAGCCGAAATACTAAAGACTAATGCACATTGGATCCAACGTCAATTGCATCTAATTTTCGTTTCGCACACTAATGTTAGATGATTTTTGTTGGAACTTTAATAAGTCATGAACATTTTGATAAATTGACGAAAAACTTTTTCGGAAGTACAGGGTTTCTCGATCCTGTGGTAGGCCATGTCTTAAAAATAGACCAAACTGGGTTATACTCATCATAATTATCTGATTGATGTTGATATAATACATAAAATTTCTTTTCGTGTTTTTAATCTTTTCTGTATTCATCAAAAATTAATCTTGTTAGTTTAAGACATTTTATGATAGGTAAACTACTTTACGTAATTTTATAAATTGATCTTGGAAAAATCATGAAAATCTCGAGGATAAAGCACAATTCTGTTAAATAATAAACTTCAAGATTTGTCATTGCAAATAAACAAATAAGATATTCGTTCGCTATATCTATTACATATGTGACATATGACATTTTCCTTCCTTCTTATCTGTTGTTCATCTTCCTCTTTCTTATTTCTTATTCTTTACTTAATCCTCGTCCTTTCTCTTTCTTATCATTTGGCATATTTCTCAATCATGTTGGAATTATGTTATTTCCAAGTTGAAAAGAAAGGATATAACATAATTTTTTATTCCAAGTGTATGTTACTATGTAGGTGGGAGTAGACCAACTTCTCTGCTCTTTTCCCTTCTTCTCCTCTGTTATAAACACCTTCGTCGTCTACTTTAACAAACGGTGTGATAAAAATCCTTGAAAGAGCAAAATCTTGCATTAGTCATTGATAAGACTGTAACAGTCATTTAAGATTTGACTGCGTTTGACTATCGTTTCAAAAATTTGGTTCAGGTTCAGTTCGTTTTCGGTCTCTGATAGAAAATGACTTTAGGTCAGATTCTTATAACGTTGTTTATAAACATAACTTTCAGATCTTTCTTACAGATGCTCTTTGTGAGCGATAATACCTACATAAAGAGAACTTTTCCATTAAGGTAAATGCTGAGCTTCGCTGAAACTAGTAATTTTTAAACGGTGTATATAGACGCTCGTGTGTTTCTACGTTTAATTCATGTCGCTGTAAAGTGATGTAAGTTTGTATAATGTCAGTTTACTTTGTTATGCATTGTTTATCATAAATCAATTTCATGTGTTTGCAGATAAGAATAGAAGATTGCATTTCCTTTTTGCATTTACAAACGAATACAAAATGTTTGCATTACTATTAATCTCTCTACTGATTATGGACATTGACCGTGCTCTTCAGTGTATGACTAACTGTTCGGTTGACGAATTTCGTTTTGATCAAACATTTCATATTCCTGACGGACAATGTCAACAACGCATCTTAGCATCTAGTTGCTCTGTTGAGCTCTCTTTCAAGTATCACAATCAAAAGTATTATGTAGACTTTAATCAGGATGTTATACCGTCGGATTTTATTTATATTACACATGGACCTTATCTCTCTTATCGTATTGGTTATTCATGTTCGGAAAGAACTGATTGTGTTCTCTCCTATGTACAGAATAAAGTCAATGAAATGGTCGGTCGCACCTATAACGCCAAACGCATATATCGTCAACTCACACTACTTATTGAGAATCCTTCACGAAACGGTTCAATTCAATGTTACAACATGGAGAACGAGATTATCACATGTTCATCTGATCAAATCTGTGCCTTAGATTATGATCAACATCCAAACGAGGTCAGCTTACGTGGTTGTGTGACAAACAATGGCGCCCGAGTTTCTGTCTTCGATGTCGAGTCTTATACTTGTTTTGATGTTGAGTGTGCTCGCAATTTATGCAATGACGATGCAACATTCACACAAATTATAACTACTTTGGCCAATAACGGTTTAATAGATTCCAATGGACGACGAATTGCCGTGGATACAAAGGGCATAGCTTCTTCTCTTTCAATGGCATTTGCTTTGATCTTCGTCGTTGTCTCTTGTATTTTGAAATTAAATTACATTTGATCTAGCGAAAGAACCGATGTGGAAAATAGTTGATACTGTATCATTAGAATCATAAATCGACTGTTTCCTCTTGCATCAATTGTTTACCATTAGTTTTTCATTCTCCATCATTCGTTCATGCTGGTGTTCAGATCAATAGAAAAGAATGATAAAAGACTCACCATAACCATGAATGAACAAAGATAAATAAGATAATCAAGATATGAGAAAATCATTTGATGATTAACGATGGAGAGAGAGAGAGATATACAGGGTGTCCCAAAAGTCCCCAAGAAAAGCTTTCGTAAAAATCTCGTATACAATTCAAGCGATTCAAATGCTTCTTTTATAATATGATAGTATATTCTTTTAAGTTTTATTTCATATAATTTCGGATAAATGTCTATGCATACAGATAGTAAGAAACGAATAGTTTTATTAATGGTCAAATTTGAGTTACCTATCATTGTGAAACAAAAAATTCAAGTTGAATTTGGTATACAAACGGCAGAAGTAGACTGTATTAGGAATATTTTTCAACTCTTTTGTGAAACTAATGCAGTAGCAAATTGACAACACTCCGAAAAGTTTTCAAAAATTAAAGAAGAAAAAGCAATGAAGGCCATGATGTTTGTGAAAAAAAGAGCTCCTATCGAGTATTCGGACTATTACAACGGCTTCCTTCGTTTCAGCCCTCAATTATCACTGCGCATTGTCTAATGAAGTCATGTGGAGTATAATTTGTTTGAAAACTTTGCGAAAAAGATTATCAAGGTCGAGTTCAAGTTGTATAACTCTGATAGCATCGTTAGAGCATACTAATAATCAGGAGAATTTAATTTTTATCGATGAAAAAACTTTAATTTAAATGCTTTATCGATGAATATAAAGTGAAAACAATTGTGTATACGACAAATATAAAGTCTTGATTGAATTTAAAATGAGAATCGATGAACGAGATAAATTAATTCGAAAACAAGCACTCTGTAGTACTTTTTTCAAGCATTTCGAAAACGATGGTTTTATGCATTTCAGTTAACAAGAATCATTTTTGACATTTGCTGTAAATCAAATTATATGAAACAAAACTTAAAAGAATATACTATCATATTATAAAAGAAGCACTTGAATCGCTTGAATTGTATAAGAGATATTTACGAAAACTTTTCTTGGGGACTTTTGGGACACCCTGTAATACACAAGAAAAGACACTATCAAATGAATACTGACTGAGAAAGCACGGAAAAAGATCACAGTTGGAATGGTACCAGTTCAGTTAAACTTTTCAACCTAGTAACTCCTATATCTTATTATATGTTTCAACTGTAAAAAACTCAAGTGAACATCAATTACAGAATTTCGAGATATTATTCTTTCCTTTGAAGTATAAACTTATGTAAATTAGAATAGAGATATATTGTCATGAAGCGATATCCTTATTTCACTATTCCGATAACGAAAGATTGCGATTATATTAGCCAAAGCTTTGAGAAAACTAGGAAATATTGGAATTCTGTGTAATCAGAACATCGACAATTTCATCTTTTCACAATAGTAAAATAAGTCTTTCCAGAAGATTTCTTCTTGATGTCTAATCAACTTCTTATCTGTCTAACTTACCTCACTTCCGTCTCTTTGACAAAAGACAAACAAATAAGGGACCCTATCTTGGTATCACCTTTTATGCATTATCCATGGTAGAAGAAACTTAATTTTTATCCTATTGTTGTCGATGAAGTCACAGAGCATTCTTGACTCTTGACGTCTATCCCTACTTTGTAACTTTATAGGTATGATAGAGCCCAGTTGGGCTCGAAAAAGATGAGCTACTTTGTGATTCTAAGATTGAAATGGTTCGTCCCGACGCAATCAATACATCGTTTGTCTATATTTCCCATCGAGTTAGGGTTTCGAGTCCTACACAGGTTAAGATTTGCTCATCTGCATCTGATATTTTCTTCTTTTCTCTAACGAACGATTATCTGGGTCTGACTTAAAATGTACACCATGCCGCTATATGAAGTGTCCTTCTTAGTGCGAACTTGGTCAAGCTGATGAGTTTTTCAAACGTATATCCGGATGTGTTCTACATGGAACTTTAAAGCAACGAAAATCTTGCCTGATTCACAATATGTCAAAGTCCATAGAATACTACATGTGAGATTTAACTCGGCAGTCACACTATACTTCAGGTTTAGCTGCAAAAAGAAAAATGTTAAAATTCGCGACTCGAATCAATACAAATGATGTACGTTGGAGCAGAAATTTGTCTTCGACTTCGACTGATTGCAAGTCTATTTAAGTAATATCGCCAGTCCACAGATCGGTTCCTTCGAGATAACACTGAAGAAATGTGTCTAAAGTGACATTTGCGTTTAGTAGTCGGATGATAAGTCTCTCGAGCATTTCAATTCAAACAGTTGGTGATTGACGAGGTTGTGCCCAAGCGAGCAAAAGACGACGGGCTAAGTGTCTAGTCTTTGTCTCAAAATTGACTGGTTCGTTACTAATTCGAATTTCTAACCGTCATGCATATGCGTCCTGACATCCTGATTGACGGTTGCCATAAAACATGATAAGACTAGTCCTTGAGTCCATCAAACTAGGCTTAATTGTTTGTTGAGATGTTCATTGAAATAGACACACACTATGAACTACATAAATAGTTTACTTCAAACAAGTGAAATCTTTTCCACATAGTCGTCTTAATAGATTATCTGATTTTTCGATGCTTATTATTCTTCTGTTTTATCTATCAAATAATAAACAGTAATTAACTAATATTGTAATGAGTGACTTTCTTCGTCTTCAAATGGACTCATAGTTTTAAGTGCTACAGTAACTTTTTACGTCGAAAAACTGCATTTCTTCTTCCTTTTTCAAAGTTCGTCGAATGACTGTTCACAACCCAGTTTATAAATCGTTCGTGTCATCAAGTGAATTTGTATAGGATAAATTGAAATTAATCAACAAGTAACGTTCATCGACAGTCGATTCACTTGGTCCTAGACTGAAGGAATATAGATGCGGATATAATTGTTTATAGGTGTGAACAGGAATCTACTATCGTTGGCTGTGTGTAATAGAATAACTTGGTTATAGTGGTCATCTGATAACTATGGTTGGAACAATCGTGGTGGGGATTATAAAGATCACCTCGTCACTATGATTTAAATTAATCGACCAGTATTGGCTAAAAATGACTATTATCGTTAAATTATTTAGTATAATTGGTTTATTGCTCAATGCTGTAACAATGAGCAGATGCTTTATCAATAAATTAGAATTTTCTGAGTTTGAACATAATATTATGATAAACAAAAATCATATTCATTAAACCATCTGATATAATTCTTTGTTTGAGTTCAAACTACGTCATTAGGTGTATAAACATTTTTTGTATGAGTATTAATATCACTACCCAGTCGTGAAAGACATGCTATGAAATACGAAAACTGTTTGCATCAGGTATCGTTGACTCTTACATGTATGACCGTTTGGCTGATCCTCATTCAAATAAAATGTCTTCATATTTAATTATGAATTACAATGACATGGTAAACAACGATACGAATTTCGATAATTATTTATTTAAGCGCTATTTCTATTCGAAAAAAGGTTCTATCATATTATTTACAGAATATGATTTTTGTTTACCATAATTTTATGTTCACACTCACTTAGAAAATTCTAATTTATTGATAAAGCATCTGCTCGTTGATGCAACATTAAACAATAATCCAATCATACTAAATAATTTAACGATGATAGTCATTTTTAATCAGTACTGGTCGATTAATTTAAATCATAGTGATTAGATGATCCTTATAGTCTTCTCCATGTTTCTTTGAACTATAGCTACCGGATGGTCATTCTGACCATAGTTGTCAAATGGTCATTTGTACCACAGTTGCCATGACCATTTTGACCATACTTGTTATATGGCCACTTTTACCATAGTTACCATGGTCATTTTGGCCGCGTTACCGACAGACAGACAGACAGACAGACATAGGTGAATTTTGGTTTATAGACCGTAGCCTTTAAGTCTAGGGAACATAGACATCACCGACGCAAACACCGATGTCACCGATACAAACACAGATGAATTTCGATTTCTAGACCCTAGCCTTTCAGTCTAGGGAATATATTTTAATATAATCAAGAAAAATCAATTTTATTATCGTTTATGTTATACTTTTTAAATGATAGAATAAAAATATTTTATATATGTAGCCTAAGATTAATTTTATTTTGAAATGGATATAAAAAATGAAAATTTAAGAAAAATCTGTTCCACCATTAACTAAAATACTTTGTCCGGTAATGTAATCAGAATCTTTGCTTGCAAGAAATGAAACCAAATTTGCCACATCATCTGGATGTCCTATACGACCGAGTGGAATATTTTTTTGAAAATCGTCCACAACATCTTCCCTTGTCTTCCCATGAAAGTTCGACAGTGCTTCATAAGTTCTGTCAGCCATAGGTGTCTGAGTGGCTCCTGGTAAAATTTCATAGATTTAATATTTAAATAAACTCTAAAATATACCTGGACAATAAGTATTGACTGTTATATTATATGGAGCCCATTCCATAGCAGCAGCTTGTGTCAAACCTCGTACACCCCATTTTGTAGCACAATAAGCACCGAACATTGGCGTTGGTTTATATGCACCAGTACTACAAGCACCAATGATTTTTCCTCCTGTACCTTGTTTAATCATGATTTTAGCTGCTTCGTTATAACAAAGAAATACACCACGCATATTTATTGCAAAAATTCTATCCCACTCTTCTACATTCGTATCTAAGAGTGATTTCACATTACAAATACCTGCGTTTGCGACTAAAACCTGTAGAATTGATCGCAACAAAGAAAGATAATCGTAAAGAATAAAAAGTACATACGTCTAGACTTCCTAATTTTTCTGCAACTTCTTGCATCATTTTTTCGACTGATTTACTGTCCGAAACATCAGCAATTATAGCGATCGATTTGCGACCAAGTCCTTCGATTTCTTGTTGAACTTGTTGAAGGTCAGAAGAGCTAGCTTCTATATCATTAACAGCTATATTGAAACCATCTTTAGCAAGACGAAGAGCAATTGCACGTCCCATTCCTTGAGCAGCACCAGTCACCAAAGCCGTACGAGTCATTTTCAATAATATATAATAAAAATAAAAAAAGACAGTTATTTAAATAAACCTCTTTTTTTTATTCTTCTTGAATTTTCTTTTTTCTTGTCTATGGTTATTCAAATTTGATAGCGAGTTGGTAAGACGGTGGTAGTTAGTAGTAGAAGTGACTTTTTCTTTTTATCTTGTTTCGACCTATTATCAAATTTTAATAAGAACAGAAAAGAAAAAGAAAAAAATACTAAGACATATATAAAGTCTGAAGAGGACAACATCGTTTGTCAAAATGTTACAAAAACTAAAAAAGAATCTTCTACAAAAACCGAGAAAATATTTATTCAACTATAAACAAATGAATGGCTTAAGCCCTATTTTCACCTTATAGTATAAATAATCGATTTAACAGAAAAGCAACTCAAAATGATGCAAAATGAAATCTTTTCACTTATTAAAAGAAAAAAGAGTACACTCAAATCTTAACAAAACTAATGAAAATCCGTTCATTATTTTTTCATTTACATGAACTGAATAATTCAATCATCTTTCGTGTTCTATCAATTTCAAGTTTAATGCATTCTCAAACATTTGCAAAGAACAACAGGCGCTACCATACATTAACACATATCAAAGTGAAATGAAAAGAACTGTCCGTAGACGAGCAATATCTAATATAAACATATGGATATTATTTTAACAATATGACGATAATTTGTAATATTCAAAGATTGTTTAAAAGCCATTTTTTATGATAATATCAATTTGTCTTGCTTATCAATATTTTATTGTTGAAAAATTAGATCGAAGTCTAGGACAGACGTCCATCCGATGTTATTGATTATTTTATATCAGTCAATAAGAAATGAAGAATATAAATCCAATAAAGAAAGAATCAATATTAACAATCAGTATCTTTGCTTTCATATGTAATTTTGTTTCATTTTTAAAATGACAGCTATTGTCCATCAGCCAATTATTACTGAAAGTCTTAGTTTAATCGGATGGAGATTGATACGAAATGCTGAAACTCAAGACTTATTTGATCTTTAATTATCTTGTAAAATAAAAATTTGGATATATTGTTTGTTTTAGCCCGCAAAAAATGAGTCAACTTTCGAAAGTGAAGTTGAACCTTCATCGACATCCTATGCTGATCTTACTCTTGATCTTTGTCTTGAAGTCGATGTGATTGATTCAACTTCTTGTCAACAAACACATGATGGGTGGGGTGTGGGTGGGTGTGGGTGTGGGCTATGGGTGGGTGTGGGCTGTAAGTGGGTATGGGCTGTGGGTCGGTGTGGGGTGTGGGTGGATGTGGGTGTGGGTATGGACAAAGAGAAATGAATACCCACACCCACACCCACACCCCCAC